TGATTGCCTCTGCACAGACACAGAGAGAATGGAAATGGGAAGAGCAATTAATTTGTAATATTTTAATTCCTTAAAAAATGTCTAAAATAGGCTAAAATATTGGTGAGTAGTTAATTTTGAATGGTGCATATAGCATTTTCTCTTTCAATAGCTGAAAAAGTAAAAAATAAAATAAAAGCAAAATAGTTTAAGAATATTCATTGAAAAATGTGCTGGTAAATGCTGAAAAAATCATATTCTATACTCTTGTGAAGTAACTCAAATTAATAGGCTGGTAAGATATAGCTAAGCGAGTATGAAAAACACAGTACCCTGTGGATTCATTCTAAGTATTCCAGCCTATTTAACAACTTCAATAATATTCTAATTGCTATCTCTACAAATAAATCACTATCCTGTTAACTCTTGATAAACACATTTCATAAAATATACCAGTATGTCTTTATGGTATTCAATAGCTTTTTTGCTCATTTCCCTTGATTATCAACCCTATCTTTGGATCACTGCAGTTACAATGGCATTGTCTTGCTTCAGGTACAGTAGAGCATTAGGAGTAGATATTTTACAGAGCTTGAAAGTAAGAAAATGGCTATATAGAAATTCATACCACACGGTTAACTTCAAGCAAACTAAATACAAATTAATCAATTTCAAGTCATCTTAAACAAGTTCATTTTCCTTGACTTAGGTTACTGAAGCCTGCCTATCATGTGAATAAGCAATCAAGTAAAGTTGCTTGCTCAAGTCAAATGTCCCAAATGTAAAAGGTCTATTTCTAAAGGATGCTGGCTTATCTGAAAGACAAAATTACTAATTACACATTGTACTACAAGGTAAACAATGATGTATCATTATCATCACCAAAAGGGCTTACAAATATTTGTATGCATAGTCATGAACAAAGATCTGTTAAGAAATATGACATCTATCTTTCAATGTTGCCATTTTTAAAATGAACTATATATGAACAATAGATCATATACTGAATTGATTATGTAATTCATTCAAATAGTGTAACAGTTGGAAATGACCTCAGATAGTGAGATGGTATTCTAGTGGAATCTTAGAATATATGTATCAGTCAAAATTTGGGGAATTTTCATGAGGGCATTCAATAGATGTATGAGCATGAGTGATTTGCTTAAAAAGTTATTATTATTTTTAGACTTAAGGAAAAAAGAAGCTGGGATTAGGGGAAGGTGATTCAGGTAAATGGAAGAATAAAAAGTAAAAAATAAAAGAGTAAGAAGAACAGAGCTCTTTTGAGAAAGCAGTGGTATAGCCAAATAGAGATGGAGAATTAAATAAAGTAATAGGCTTTTGATTTTTTTTTTTTTGGAAGTAGTAAATGTCATGTCCACAGTTTGCTATAACATGTCAGAAATAGGAATCAAGACTTGCCAGTGGAGATAGAGAGGCAGTATTTCTGAGAAAGAACATAAATTTTGGATTCAGATACACCCACAATCAAATTCTAATTGTTCTTTATGTAATACGGGGGGATGGTTTCATACACAATTTCCCTATCTGTGAAATTTGGGTAATAAAACCTACCATTAAGGTTGTTACAAAGATCAGGTTTAAATACATTGAGAATAATATATACACTGTACTTATACACACTGAATAACATACACAAATGATTTAATAAGTCATTTTTTGTTAATCGGAAAGTATCAATAGCATGGATCTTTATTACAGTGCCATCTGGTTTAATGAAATGGAAGACAATGAGAAAAAGAAAGACAAGTAAAAAAGGTAAATAATCATTAACACTACTTTGGAGAAAAATGAGATTCACAGGTGACATCAGAACAAACATAGCAGAGTGAATAGAAGCACAGAGATACTGAAGCAAAGAGAAGTAAGGATAACAAATTTTTATATTCAGCTTTCATTAGTTCATTATGTGATTTATTTAACACCTACTGAGAACACAGACAAGCACACAGACACACACAAACACACACAATGCCTAAAAGCAAGGAGCTTAGCTGAGAGGAAACATAAACAAACCATCAGTAACTGTACAGAGTGAGACAAGTCCTGGGCAAAAAATATATGAAATCAGAGGAGGTTAGTTAAATGAATACTTATGAGCATTGATTGCATATCAAATGCTATGCTAGGTGACTGGGATACAAAGATGAATTAAAACTAAGCTTCCCAATTTATATGCTCACGAAGGAAAAAACACACTCAAAATAACAGATCTTGGTACAATCATTAGTACAATAATAGAAAAAAAACAGAAGAAGCATTTAATACCACCTTGTTTGGGGAATAGGGGAAAATAAATTACTAACAGGGAAAGCACCTGGGAAGAGTTAATGTCTGACCTATTGTATGAATGATCAATTAATCATATATATATTTTATAAGCCAGAAAAAGAGGAAAAGGGGGAGGGGAAGGAAAAGGAAGGAAATTTCAATCAGATGAATACCACAGACAAAGATTAAAGCTTAAAACAATATAAGTTTGGATATATTAGCATTTTAATAGGCTAGAACATTGAGATCATGGAAAGAGGTGGTACAAGAGGAGTCTGAAGTTTTACAAGTAACAGATTAAAGTGTCTAATGTAACAGTCTGGGAGCTTAGACTTTATGCTATAGTCGGGAGGGAGACTCTGAAACTTTTATTTGGAGTAAGGCAGACTAGTTGGAAGCCTATTTTAATATTCCAATTAAGAGACAATTAGGGCATGATTTATTTCATTGGTAATTAAAACAGACAGAAAGAAAAGCACCATTTAAAAGACAGACTTAAAGAAGCTGGTAAGATGTTGGCTGTAAGCAGGTAGAGAGATAGCTTATAGGAGGATGCCTCAAACAAGTAACTTGATGGGTAATGGTGTCAAGATGTGATGTTGGGGGAGAGAGGAGATAGTCAAAATGATACTATCAGGAGAAATAAAGATGTGGATAGAGATTAAAAACTAAAGAAAAGTATGACAGATGTTAAGATAATGAGAGTAGATAAAATCTCTGGAATTGAAAGTAGACCAAGGACGTAAATGGGCTGCGGATAGAACCCTGAGCTAATCTATTAGAGACAGGCAGAGATAAATGAGCCACTGTAGCATTCCTAGAGAGAACAGCTTCATAGACTTAAAGGGAGAACCAAGGGAGTGACATGCTGAATCTCAAAAAGAGATAGCATCAGAGAAAGCATAGACACAAATGCTTGGTTCACCATGGAGGAAAAAAGACATACAATAACACTAAAAGCATCCAGTGGATTTAGAAAGGGAGAAGTTTGTTGTTGCTGTTATTGTTGTTTTTAACTTCAGTGAGATAAATTTTGGTAGCATGGGAGTTTCAAAAGCCAGACTGCTGTGTGTCAAAAAGTGATTAATAGTCAAGCAAATACTGTTAATAATCTAGCAAATATTGCTAATTATGTGGAAATTTTAATGGGAATGTAAGGGAAATACTGCATGACTGCTGAAAATACAACTAGAGCGAAGGCAAGGCTTTCATTTTAGCTTGGAAGAGGGTTAATGATGAATATAGGCTGAAGGAAAAAAGTAATGAAGATGTCAGAAATAGAAGTGATAAGAATAACACTACATCCTGAGCAGGGCAAAAGGGATTAAGATCAAGAGCAGAGAAAGAGGTGTTGGCCTTAAAGAGGAAGTACCATTTACCACTTAAATGTAAAGAGGCAGGAAAGTGGTTTGCAGATATTATCACAGTAGGATACATTTGTTTGATAAAATACATCATGTTTTCAACTTTTCCTTCCAATATGAGTAACCTATAGTATAAAGAAAATTAAAGTTTTCTTTCTGAGTTTATCTTGTTTGGGATTTATTATGATGTCTGAATCTAAGGATTCATACTTTAAAGAATTATGGACTGTTACCTGCCATTGTCTCTTTGAATATTGCTTTCCCATTTTCTCATTTATTTCCCATTCTCTTCTCCATAATTCTTAACATTTCTTCCATATGTTTTGTCTCTTTTGCTCTCTGTGCTGCATTCTGGGTTCCTTTTCACGTTTCCAAGTGTACTGATTCTTTTCCCTCCCAGATGCATTTGCTATTTAATTAATAAAATCTTTAATCAAAATGAATCCAATTTTGGTGAGTTCTTTTTCAAACCTTCCTGAACTGTTCTGATAGTGTTCTATTAGTTTGTTTTATTCCCTTTAACCATTTTAAACTTATTAGGCAGAGTTATTCTAATACTATCATTTGAAATTATTGGGGGTGTAAATATGTTGCTGATTATTTCTAACTCTCATTCATGTTGGAATTTTCCCTATTGTTTTATATTTTGTGAGCTCATCTTTAAAAGCTTTACTTTATCTGAGAAAGTAGGCCTCAGCCAATTTATTTTTCTAGAGAATATTTATCAAAGTAAGATAATTTCTTAAAATGATAATTTCTTAGTTAAGACCACCTAGATGGTATATATAAATGAAGATATCAAAGAATTGTGAAAAAAAGCCAGACTGTTCTCACTTGTTTTTCCCTATCCAGGTTTCAGGCTTAGGCAAACACACTTTCTTGTCTCTGCCTTTGCTTGTGGGTGTATTTTTTTCTGCTCTCCCCATTCAAATGCCTTACTGTATCCAGCTCCCTTACTTGCTCAGATTCATAGCCCATGGCCTATATCTGAAGACACTAAAATTTAATTACCCTGTTTACCAAGATCAGCAAAGTTATTCTCCAATTCATATTTTCAGAGCAGCCAAATATCAACTAAAAATTTAACTTGAAGTTGTTAAGTTTTCTTTGCATTGGTCCCTGAGGGTTTCCTTTACTTTCCCATAAGCACAACATGGCATTTAAAGAATGTATATCCTATTTATGCTCCATTTATAAGTGTCTTACATTCTCTATTATCAACATTGCAGGAAATGTAAATTCTCATTACTTTTTTATCTACTTCCTCTTTTTAGACATTTCATCCTGTCCTTTTGTTTAATTTTATGAATCAAAATTTATGTCTTCCTCACCTTTATGCTATAGACCTATGTATCTAATTTTTACTTTTCATTTCCATTTGAAGAGCTAATAAGAATCTGAAATTTAATATGGCCCAAAGAGACATAATTATATCTTCTCCAAAATCCTCCTCACACTTTCCTCAAGTCCTTGTTACTTCAGCAAACAGCCTGACCGTTTTTTCCCCTCACATTTATATTCCATCTATCAAAAGATTTGGTTGGCACTTCCTCTGAAATATATCTGAAATTAGCTATTACCATTTTTATTGAAAAAAAACCTTGATCTACGTCATCATTATTATAATTTTTCTGAATTACCAAAAAAGCCGTCATCCTTCCTATATGCACTAAAGTCCATCCTTCACTAAGCTGCTCAACAGATCTTTCTAAAATAAAATGTAAGATACTTTAAATGCATTCAATGTTTTCATCTATATTCCTTTATCACAGCCCACTTATGGGCTTGCAGTATCTGGGCCCTGTCTGCTTTGCCAACATTTGTCTCCTTAAATTACTCTACCCACATATAATTTTCCGGAAACACTGACCTCCATTCTGTTTTCAGAACACATAGGATCTTTATCCATCACTGGGCTTTCTGCATGTTTCTTCCCCAGATCAGCTCAAAGCTGGCATGTCTTCTTCATTCAAGTCTCAATTCAAATGTTACCTTCTTAGAGACAGGTGTTCCTAAAGGTCCTTGCTAAAGCAGAGCTCTCAATCTTTCCCTGGCCCTGTCACTCAAGCACATTATCCATTTTTTTCTTCCTCACAAGAGTATCAGTGACTGAATTTTAAAAAAATTATCGTTTCACATGTTTATTATCTATTTAGGAGAATATACATTTAAATGATATCCCCAGCACTTAAACAGCATTTCATATAAAGCAAGTGTTCAGGACACACAAACACACACACATGCACAAACACATATACACTCTCACAAACATACATTTGATATTCAGGTCTACATTTTCTTTAAGTATAAACCTTGATTATAAAGTTAGTCATAAGCATAAAGTTATAATATTAGTCTACTGGCCATAACTATGAGATTATAAAATCACTACATAAAGTAAAAATAAAGATACATGAAACTATTTCTGATGTTAACCATGAAATAATGAAAACAATTGACCTTTATATTATTTTTTGTATCTCTTATAATGTATAATGTGTAACAAATGAATATTTTCTACCAAAAATGCCATTCAACAAATATTTAATGCACATCAACAATGTGTCTGTAGATTAGTGACTAGATTAGTCCTTGAGGATTCAATAAAAGGGGAAATACAGACAGGTCCTACCTGCAAGCATTTATAAGGCAGTGGGTGTGCAGCCATGCAAAAAGTGTACATTTTATCTTTTTTTTTACTTTATGTAAAAAAAAATTACCAAAGCTATCCTATTTCTAAGAGGAAAAATAATTAAATAAATTTGAGATCATCATAGAAGGCAGAATACTTCTAGAAAACCACAGAAATGAATGGGGGAAAGAAATCACAGGTAATAAGTCACTAATGGCTAAAATGAGCTGCAGCTCCAAAATTTCCTGCTAGCTAAAGCCATTCCTGCCTTTCTAATCATATTTATTAGGCTGCTAAGAAAGTTTAGCTTCTGTAATAATTATTACCTTGGGGGTTCATTGAAAGCAGGAACTTTCCCCCCTTTTTTTTATATAAAGATTTTATTTATTATTTGACAGAGAGAGAATGAGAGAGAGCAAGCACATGAGACGGGGGAGGGTCAGAGGGAGAAGCAGACTCCCTGCCGAGCAGGGAGCC